TAGGGGGCGTGTTCGCCTCGGGCTAATGTCTGCCTATAAATTTGGCGAGCAAGCTCCGAGCGCTTGCTTCTGCTTTCCTGGTCTCCGCGGGAACGGTGGTTCTGTAAGTCTATTTCTACATTAAAGCTATATATATATATATATTTACACTCTGTCTGCATTCATTTACGCCGTTACAAGGCTACAGTATTTTGTTTGTTTGACACTTTTCAATGTCACTGAAGCTTGACTCTGCCCAGGCTTGACAAAGAAGCCTGTGTCTATTTAAGATTGTGAAAGATAATGCTTGGCAGAACAGCTTATCTGCCCACCCACCGGTGGCAGAAATGCAACAGATTGCTCAGACAGCCAAGCCATTAGACAAGCTTGATAGGGAGTGACAGACAAGGTGATACTGATTAGCTCTCTAAGAAATGCTCTCTAAGCTAGGTGGAGCTAGCATCTACTACTTGGTAGGAATTTGGTCAGTTTGTTGAGGTTTGTCAGAATTAACAGCTATTGAAAAACACAGCAAGACAGCACCCAGAGATGCAAGATGAACAGTATGAGAGGCATTCCTTCCTTTTCTTCCTTATGTATTCTGATGACTGAGATAACTTAATGCAAGACACAGATGCTCATCAGCAGTGAAATATTCCCTCTTTTCTCTTTTCCCAGCGGAGTAGCCTAAGGACATTTGTGACTTTTCAGACAATATTTGTTCAGCATTTCCTCTCTCCTGGACACCTAGCCACATAGAGGGTAGAGTGTAGAGGGAAGAAAGAAAAGGCCACAGACCACAAAATATGTTTTATGTGGGGTTAATAATGTTATTATTACCGTACTATGGTCACTCTTTTGTTCATATATTCTAATGTCATGCTATTTCCGTTGTCTGATGTTAACTCCTATGAGAGGAATTGGATGTGCAATGGGCCTGGAAGATGAAGGGATTTGAAGTCATCTATTACTTTCTCTGGGTAGCAGAAGACTACTTGCTGCTGCCATTTGTACTGCCATTATTTCACTCTCTCCTAAAGTTCAGATGTGGAGAAAAGGAGCATATGGCTTCAGTACACAGACACACAAAAGGCTTGTGGCTCACCCCCACTTTCTCTGCTGTAATTGGATTCAGAAAGCAGGTGCCCAGCACTTAATCACAGAAACACCATCCTTTAGGGCAGAGGCAGATTTCCCTGCACACAGACCTTTAGAATTCTAGATGTAGATGGAAAAAAGACCCTGAAGGGAATTCTGTCTGGAAAGGTGGCTGAGGCTACTGTTAAACCTTTGCATTTTCATCCTTTCCACTCAACCTAATTTGTCCATAAAATTTTTTTCTCAGTCAACAAGACCACAAATAATAAAAAAGTACAATACTCGCTCGCATGTGTGGGTACCTCCACTCCCTGAAGGAGACATATTGAGATTGCAGAAACATTCTTAGTTTTCCTTCATGGTAACAGTACATGAATATATACTCACAGAAGAAGACGATTCTCAAAGTGTGTTTAGTTAATGTCCTGTTTTATCCAAGGGGGAACTGAAGCTATTTGTTCAGCTTTTAACAAGAAAAATAGATTCAGTAATCATTTCCTGATGCTAGTCCATGCCCCTCTAAACTCTGTTACAGTCCTTGATGTTTCCTGCTGCTCTGATTTTATCCAGAGGCATAGCATCGTGTAGACTGAACTCTTAGGCTGTGTTTTGAACTCAGGACATTATGCATGCTAAGTAGGCATTCTGTCACTGAGCTGCAGGTCCAGACTCCAGGGTACTTCCTCCCTCCTCTAGTATATTTAGTAAGATTTCGTCAAATGGAAGGAGAATGGGTAGCTTCCTGAGGGGATCTGAAATAAACCAGAAACTTCTATAGTTATTATCAATTATTTGGTCTCTTACAATTTCAATAGAATTTCCTAGTTCAGTTTGTCTACACAGAACACCAAAAGTATGGACTCATTGTCCATGGATACTTTATATTCACATTTCTCATTTGTCCTTGTTTCAGAAAAGAAAAGTGAGAAATTAGGACAAACACTCTGTAGGCATATGTCACCTGGACTAAGATATTTTCTGGCACATCAGAAATAGAATGATATCTCAAATGTTGGCATGCATTGGGATGTGTTATTTCTTCTTCTTTTTAAAATCAAATGTCTTCTCCATATTCTCTCTTTTTAAAATGATGCTAGATAGAGGTAAGTTAATATTTAGTTAAGGTTATTTCAATTTTGCTGTCTAAATGATATTTTTTATGATCTTGGTGGTGTGGTGGCGTGGGAGGTTGGACAGGATTGTTTCTGCTAGTCTCTCTGGCTTCAGCTTCCCTTGGCTCCTAACTATATGATCTTGGATGACACGGTCCTCTTCTGTGATGTGGCATTCCCCTCTGTATGCTATGAATATACTTTATTACCATTGATTAATAATGAAGCTGCTTTGACCTATGGCAGGGTAGAATATAGGTAGGCAGGAAAATTAACCTGAATGTCAGGAGAAAGAAGGCAGAATCAGAGATACCATATAGCTGCTGAAGGAAAAAGACACCAGAAACTTACTGGTAAGACCCAGCCTCATGGCACTACACAGATTAATAGAAATGGATTAATTTAAGATGTAAGAGCTAGTTAGAAATATGCCCGAGCCACTAGCCAAACATTAGTTGTAATTAGTAGTTTTTGTGTGATAATTTGCGTTCACACAGACCTGTGACAGCTCATGAGTGGGTTCTCTTCCTGTATTTCCCAGAAGCTCTGTGGAATCATGATTCAGTGTAGCACACTCCCTTAGAAATGCTGGTGTTCAAGGAAGGCAAATGTCTATTTCGTTATCCATTTCTGAACATGGGGAATTTGGATGCTGCTCATCTGAGTTCTTCTGACTCAAGCCATTTCAGGAAAGCTTGAGAAGGGCTAGAATTCATTTCACCCATGGTTCCCTAAATGGTACTGGTGTTGTTATGTAGCCTCAGGTCCAATCTGTAGATTTCTTTCTACATGTTTTTTTTTTAATCCAGTTTTCTTTTCTTTTTCAGACATCTAGATGCCTCAAGAAGCTAGCTTTTCCTTTTTCTGTTTTAAAACAACCTTTAAGACTAAATGGCAGCCCAGGCAAGGTGGTGCTTGTGTTTAGACCCAGCACTTGTTATGCAGAGAAATATAGTAATATTTTATTTGTATTTTAATAAATAAACCTTACCTGAAGATCAGAGAGTAAAACAGTCCCACTTATTAGCCTTACAGACTAGGCAGTGGTGACACATACCTTTAATACCAGTAGCCACACTAGTTTGCCAAAGAAACCGGGTGGTAATGGTAAGCGCCTTTAATCCCAGCCCTAGAGAGGAATATAAGATGGGAGGAGACAGCTCTCAGGCTCAGTCTCATTCTCAGATACCTGGAGGCAGGATCACCATTTCAGACTGAGGTAGAGGTAAGAGCCAGTGGCTGGCTGTTTTGCTTTTCTGACCCTCAGGATGAACCCCAATATCTGTCTCTCTCTTTTTTTTTTATCATACTATAGAGGCAGGTAGATTTCTATGAGTTCAAGGCCATCTTGGTCTACAAAGTAGGTTCTTCAACAGCCAGAACTACGCAGAGAAACCCTGTCTCAAAAAACAAAACAACACAATAAAGACATAAGTGGGATAACATGTGAAAGTTTGTTATGCTCCAGGGAAGAATGGCTCATGAAAAGGGGTTTTCTGTATTTCTTAACTTCAAATTATGTAAATCATCTAGGCAGTTTAGTTGAATACACTTGAAAGAAAGAAAAAAATGTAGCCATCATAAGGATGGGTGTTTGATTTTTATATTTTAATTTTGAGATTGAGTCTTCTAGAAAACTTAACGGAACCCTAGATAATTTTTTTGTATTGTGTTGGGAATTAAGGTTTGGTAAATTTTCAATAATGTGAAATCAAAAAGCTATACACAGGACAATGGATAGAAAGATTTTTAGACTTTTAAATTGTGAAGTGATGAACTGTTTTAATTTATAATTACAGTTTTAGATATAATGAGACTGTGAGTAGTTTGAAGAACATAACAAACCTAATTCCTCTAAATTATAGCAAACCAGCAATAAGTGCAAACTTAACATTTTAAAAATAAAAAACGTTCACATTGGCTAAGTATCTTTCCTGGTTCTGAGATTTTGGAACATAAAGATATTGTGTATATGTTTTTCTTGTCATTGCAAAGAATTTGGACATTTTTAAAGATAAGTTTTGGCTGAAAAGTCATTCACATGCATTTTTAAACTCATGAAAGTAACTGATTTTCAGTATGTTTTTATATTCATCAAGTTTTAAAACATACTTTCTATTGTGACCACTGTAGAAAGAGACCCTAACTGGGAAGGAGGGGGGATGGTTCATTACAGTTTAAGATGCTTCATTACAGTTTAAGAGTGAAATAAAACCCTCAAATTCCTCTCTTCCATTTCTGTACTCGTGAAATCCAAGCTAAGGGCAATAGCAGATGTGGTATCTGGTTAGGTCCTGGTTCATAGAAACTAAGTGTTTATGTACCCTCACATGATAGGCAAGAGGGTAAAGGAATGTCTAAGGGATCTTTCACAGGGAACCTGGTCTTATTCATTAGTGCTCTACCTTCATGACAGAATTTTCTAAAAGCCTCATCTCCCAAAACCATTCTTATTAGGCCTCGTGTGAATTTTAGGGCCACAAACATACACACCGCAGAAACACAGGAGTTCTTTAAGTGTATTTGTAGCATTTACTTTCTATCTCATAGACATGGTGCTATTTCTGCAGTCATTTTGTGTACAATTTTCTAGGGAGCTTTAAGTTAAATTGTCTGCAGAATTCACAGGGGAAAAGTGAACTGGGTTATCCATGTCTCAAGAGGACAAAGAAGTAGAACAGCCACCTCCTATCTCTCTTTTTTTTTTTCTGGGAGGAAGTCAATGAGATATTGTACTTCAGACTTAAGTTAAAGGAACTTATGTACAAGATATCTCCACATGACAGTGTGCTGTGCTTTACTTTTCTACAGGATTCGATTGCTGGAACTGTCAACTCCTGCAACCTGTATTTCTCTTCCACTATGAGCAGACCGACTCTGTTGCCCAGCTCTGTGCCTTTCTGTAGCGTTCTCTTCCTTACCTTAGCCACACAATGTCTAGCTTTCCCAAAAGTGGAAAAGAGGGAGATGGCACATGCTTATGCCCAGACAGAGCAGTCCTGGAAGATGGACACAGGTGAAGAAGAAAACATCTCCTCTGCTCCAGAGCACATGTCCCAGCAGACATCCTTTGAAGCTCCTATGGTACTGTCTGTGGGACCATCTGTGATGCCATTAAATAAAGTCTTCTCGGTCAACAAAGAACACCACCGCCCTGGAGCTGGACTTCTGAATCCTAACATCCCTGATCTTCAGTCTTCCACTGAGCCAGCGGTCTCAGCCGCCAGTGAACAAGGGCATGGTCCCAGTCAGCTTGAAGGAATGTCTTCTGAACAGAGACTTCCCAAGGCCTTGTCAATCATTGCTGTCTCTTCACCTGCTTCTCTTAATCCTCACCAGGAGGGGCCCCAGAGCAGCTCTAGCACCCAGCCCATTGTAGAAGGGATCACAGTTGTAACACGTGACTTCCTGAAATATGTGGATAATCAGTTGTTTGCAACTGAAAGTCAGGAAGCAGTTAGCTTGGGACATACACCTTCATCTTATATAAATACCAAAGAAATGCTAGCTGCCAGTCCAAGAACAGAGAAAGCTGACGCAGATGCAGCCAAGAGGACGACTGCCTTTCCTGGGGTCGATTCCACAGCAGACACAGAGCATGATGGGGAGAGGCCCTCGGAGGAATCAGATGACAATGTGCAGACCACTGCCACCACGTACTTGGAGATAACCCCTGAGGATGCTCTGAATATTGATCCATCAGCTGAGAGTCTTCTGGGGGACCTCAAGGTCACAGTGAGTGTCAGCACAGCTGTTCCGGTTTCTTCTGTCCCAAGTGATGAGTGGGATGACACCAAATTTGAGAGTGTAAGTCAGGCAAGGACCACAGATTCAGGAGACCATGCAGAGATTCGGGTGAGAACAGAGCCACCACATGGAGCACAAGAGAGCTTTGAAGGGACTGAGGGGAGCCCCACTTCCACAGAGGTTAACAGGGTGGCTCCCTTGGGGACAGCTCTGGTAAATGCACTGGAGAAAGAGAGATCACCAGTCCTTGCCCATCAGATTCCCTTTAGTCCCATGAGTCTGACAGAAGACCCTGAGGTTTCCACTATGAAACTGTTACCAAGTGCTGGAGACTTCACAGCCTCCACCCTAGAGCACAGGACCATGCTTTTCTCAAAGACTGAAGTTTCTACCTCTCAAGATGAGTCTCAGACACATCAGGGAGTAAAAGATATGTTAAAAGGTAAGAGGTAAAAAGTAAAGAATGAAAACAACAATGAAAATATCCCAAATGTTGTTTAACTCGAAAACTTTCAATTTGGATTTATTTTTTATTTAATTTATTTATTTTAATGTATTTGAGATAAGATCTTTACTTCTCTATACAGTTTTTGAGATAGGCTCTTGACTCCACTATTTTCCTACCTTTGCCCCCAACTCATGGGACTGGAGATGTGTGTCATCATGCCTGCCTGGTTCTGTTTGTTTGTTTACTTTGGTTTTAGCCTTAAACTCACCATGTAGTCCAGTTGACCTCAAGCATATGACTGTCGCTAGCTCCTGAGGAGTGAGAGTTTAGAAGTGGGCTGCTGTCTTAGGCTTTGGTTACATTTTTTCATGGTGACTTAGAAACAGTTACTCTAGTTTTAACCAAATATAGAATACTCAAATAAATCATATATATTCTATTAAAAAATCATATCCCACATGTGTCAAGGTCTTCACCTAAGGACTGTTTCCTGTACAACCCACCCCTCAATGGGATGCTTGGAGATGTTTTGAGTTCTTTTGGCTGAGGGATCCTACTGGATCTTTTGGTTAGGGGCCAGGGATGCTTTAGAACATTCTATATCTGCAGGACAGTGTCCAGAAACAAGGTCTTAGCCAATCTATCAACAGCATTGAAACCAATGTATATTTCAAATAGTTGAATATTTTTCAAATCTTTTGTCATGACAATATAAGTACATATGTAAGTACAAAGGAAGTGGGTATATATTTTAGTTTCACAAAAATATATGGTACCTATTTATACCTAAGTATATGCACATCTCTGGTATTTCTCACCAAAAATAATTACACAAAATTTATCTTGTAGTTTTAACCACTTGGTTCTCTAACCTTATTTAACCCAAAATAAATAGTTTAGAAATAATATGTAAAGAAAATATAAATCATCTACTGGCTTCATTCTGGATTTTCTACTTTTTCTTGGCCTCCATATTATTTATTTATTTATTTATTTTTTAATTTTTGGCCTCCATATTTTTGACTATTAGAAGGTGAAACCCTAATATTAGTTGTTGATGGATTATATTTTTATTCTGTGGTTGGTCACATAATATCAACCGAAAGGAAAGACTTTGTATAAAATGAATATATTCATTGCAAATTGTTTTAGAATATGCAAATCTTATGACCTAGATCAAGTAACCTATTAATAAAAAGGAAAGAACAGATTTGTAGTATGACTTATAAAGTTCTGTTGAAATGTAATTAAAATATAAAAGTGATCATTTTATAAATAATAAAAGTAAGACTGGATAGTTTGCATGCCTGTTTTGAGTTTTAAGTTTTTCTATTTTGAAACAGTATCTCAAGTTGCTCAGAGTCATGCTTGATATATAACCAAAAGTGGCCTTTAGTGCCTAATTCTCTTGCCTCTCCTTCTGGACTGCTCTGATTATCGTTGTGTCTTACCATGTCCAATTTCTAACTCATTTTGAGAAGACTGACATAGCTGTAAGTGTGTATTTTCATAGATGCTTCCAGAAGATATTGTATAAGCTTTATTCAAATTTTTCATGAGGTGACAGTTTCCTACTGCATAACCCTGTGTGGCCTCAAAAGCACAGAGGTTCGCATGCCCTGAATCTCAAGAGCTAAGGTAAAGGCATATGCCACCACTCACAGAATAACGTGATTTGAAAAAGACATGAAGTTGAGCTTGTGTAAGGATGAAGATGTTAAATAGGATGAAACAATAGCTTCAATTGTCTGTAGCACTTACGTTTCTAGAACGTAATGTATGTATGTAATGTATGGCCCCTAGCATACATTACACCAGCAAGCCTGTATTGTTATATTTTAGACTTTTACAGTTGCAAACTAAAAGGTACAATGGATCTGGTCATATTCAGGCTATTTTGATGATCAAATATGCTCTCAGTAATAACTGCCTCATTTGCCTACTGTTTTGTGAGCAGGCTCAGAGGTTAGAGCCCCTACTGTGCTTGCAGAGGACCTGAGTCTAGTTCCCAGCACTACATCAGGAGGCTCATTGTAACTCCAGGTCCAGGGAAACCAGCATCCTTTCTGGCCTCCAAGAACACTGACACAGAGTGAACCAAGAACACATACTTAAAAAAAAAACAATTAAAAAAGATGTCTACTGAAAAACTGCTTTATGCAGGGCACTGTGATTCATGTTTGGGATATAAAGACTGCCTGTTTCAAAAAAAATGTAAGAAAGAAAGAAAGAATGAAAGAAAGAAGAAAGAGAAGGAAGGAAGGAAGGAAGGAAGGAAGGAAAGAAGAAAGACAGTAGGTAAATACTGTTCTTATTTAGAAGCTAAGGAAACTGAAGACCAAAGATGTTCAGTAATTAGCTTAGGATCATAAACCTAGAGAGCGCTTGAACCAAAATTCAGACCCAAGTAAATTGGCTCTGTCATCTGCATTCTTGACCACTGTGGAAAAGGTTTCTATGGGTTATGTTACTCTCCTTCTTCATCACACGTGGGAGGGTAAGTTAAGAGTACATACCACACCCTGACTGTCCTGCCTGTCCTTCCCAGAAACTAGGTGAACATTGGTTAATGTAATTATTATTTTTTCATTTGAAAATGCCAACTTTCTTCCCCTATTTTATATATGCAAATGTAAACATAAGTATAGAAAAATACTTCTGAGAGATTTTAGTGTAACTTAGTTCTGGGTAGTTTGTTTCCTAACAGACTGATTCAAATAATATTCAAGCATGTCTGCGAAGCACAGATAGCCTATGAATGAACTCAAAAGGGCCTAGAATGAGCAGAATAATTGGTAATTAGTTTAATTAAAATTAATAATTTCCTTTTTTGCTTCAATTTTATTTTAGGGTTTTTTTTGTTTGTTTGTTTTTACATTTCCTTCTTTTTCTCTGCCTCAGATTACCCCACAATTCCCCCAAACAACTGCAGTAACATTTGCTTATTGTCCTTGGATTCCCAAGTTGTATTTGTTGTTCTGGGCTCTGAAAGAGCTATCTACCCTTTTTCATTATATTGGCCCCCGTAGAGACTTTAATGTATAGTAATTTGGTTTGTTAAAACCTGTTTCTTTCCTTTGCAGACATCACACAGGAGATGACAATGGCCACACAAGAACCAAACCCCACATTACCCGTGGTGACACAAGATTACGTTGAGGTCCCCAGAGGCAGTGGTGAGCCTGAAGATGGTATGCCATCCCCCTCTCCTGTGTCTGCTGATGTGGGTGCCACCGAGCTCTCCAGGAGATGGGAGTCTCTGGCCACTCCGGCCTCCACAGCTGTTGTCCCTTTGACTCTCAAAGTTACCTCTTCCATGGAAGGTCAGTACACGAGTGTGGGTTCAGTGTTTGGAGCAGGAGTGTGGACCTTTACTGTGAATTATCGGGATGAGTGAGACACCTGGCCCTTTCACCAGCATGCATGTGTTCCTACCTGGGAAGACGGCCAACTCTCTTTGCTTGTGGAAATGTGTTATAGCCTCAAAGGACGAGGGGACTCTTCTGGTCCCCAAGTCTTAGCCTCCTGAGGAGTGCCTCCTAAAAGCCAGGGTTGGGAGTTTAAAAATAGTAAGGACCTGGGTTTGGAGCCACCTTTGGCCCTCTTTAAGACTGTGACATCAGATAAGCTGCTGAACTTTTTGTAGGCCTCTGTTTATTTCCAGAACTGTCTACTTATGTTATTGTAAGGAAGTAATCTATGAAAAGGGTTTTCTATATAATAGACCCTCGGGTGTCCTACTCTCTTAAGGGCGATGAAGTTTTAACAGCTGGCTGGTTACCAGAATCTCTTGAGAGCGAGAGAGAGAGTATACATATATAGAGAGTAATAAAACATATACATATATATGTATTCATTTCTCTATTTATCATTGTCCAAGCAAAGATGAGATACTCATTGAGATATTTTTAAAAATAATAAATGTTTTCTAATCCTGCCTCCTAATCGTCCTTCCAAAACAAAGCACACAAAACTCAACTCTAGAGTCTGACAATAACCTTCATGAAATCTGATGACCTGTACTCCAACTGTCTCTCTTCTGACTGGTAACCAGCATTATCAATTTTGTTTTCCTAATCTTCTTCATGCCACACTACCTCTACCTCCAGGTTTTATGTATCTATAGTTTACAAGTACACATTTTCATCTTTTTTTCTTTTTAAATTTTTAAGAAAAATACTGTACTACAGGCAATATATTTGGAAGTTAGCATTTTCCCTTACCGTCCTGATTGTCCGACATCCTGTAGTTTGTTTGTTCTGACCATCGTGTCATTATGGAAGCACATCTCATTATTCATGCAGTATTCTTCCGTGCTCCCGCAGTCTGCATCTGGACCTTCTCCAGGTACAGCTGTTGTAACTACAGCTATGGTGAACACTCTTTCGCATGATCTGCATTAAACAGTGAAGGACTGTTTCATAGGTAGAGAGGTTGCTGACCATAGGATGTATGAGTATGTGACATTAGGGACCTATGTGCCCTTTTCATAGTGGTTGCTGCACCAATTTATATTCCCACAAGAAATATAAAGGGGCCTTGTGGCTGTATATCATGGAAATATATATATATATATATAGTGTGTGTGTGTGTGTGTATTATGTATGCATTATATATGTTTTCCTCTGACTCACGGGCAAAGAGATTCTGATTCAGAAAGTTGGGAATGTGTAAATTCTGTCTAGGGAAATTCTGACGGTTCAAACTATAATTGTTGTAGTTTCTTTAGGTATGGGGCACTTAGAGCTTCATTTGGATGCTTTGAAAGAGTCTACTTTAGTCATAGATCTTCCCCCTGATTTTGTGAAGCATGCTTGCTCTTTCCAAAGAAATCCCTGCCATTTAACTTGGTGCATTCTTTTTGTTAAATTTCTGTCTTTGGTACCCATCCAAAATTCAGCACCATCCATTATACTATTGATAAAATAAGTGAGAGAATAAATTTCAAAAGCAAAATTATGATTTGAGGCTGTGTCTCTTCCCAGATGATGAAGTATTTTCTGTGGGTCGCTGAGTTAGGTGAGAAGAGGAGCTGAACCAAGTGCTGAATTTACTGTGTCTAAGACACTGCTTCCTCGCCTTCCAAAGCTCACGTTAGCATTTTCTATAATAATTGTCTTGTGGGTCAAGTCTTGTCTCTTGTGTTTGGCAGACCTAATGGACACAATCACTGGGCCAAACAAGGAATTCATACCAGTTTTGGGCTCTCCAGAGGCACCACCCCCTGCAATGACTGTGGAAACTCCCATAATTTCTCCAGCACTCCCATCTGAGGGAAGAACTATTTCACCCATCAACCACCCAAATACAGCTGCCTCATATGGACTGGAACAACTCGAATCTGAAGGTACCCTTGTCTCTGACCACATATTTGAGAAGCAAATAAGTAGATGTAAATTTAAGTCACTGGGTAAACTGTCCTACCACCAAAGAGTTTCTTAACAAAACCCTCTGCGTAGGGTCCATCCCTGTGATTCCAATTAAATTTACATGGGCAAGATATGGCACTAACATTTAAAATGAGTGTATGAGTTGGTTACATTATGAAGACTGGATGAGAACAGTAAGTTTAAATGGAGGAGCTGTGTTTTCTCCATCTGATTGTTTTGATGAATGTTTAAATCTGTGTTTTCATAATCTCACCCTATCAGTACGAGGAGGATATTAATATATCACTTAGTAACATCTTTGAGTTACTGTCTAGAGAAAACAGTTTCTTTATTATTTAATACTGAGTAATTCATGCCAAATTGTGTAGTTTAAGGCATTGACTTTGGCCATGAAAAATGTAATGGAGGAGTAGCTGAACATCAACAAAAAACAAGAATGGAGATAGGACCCACAGTCACATGACTCCTTGAGTGAGCACCCTGAAAGGTGAGGAAAGGTTGGAGGTGCAACTTTTTAGAAGGCTCATGACAGGACTGCTGACTCAGAACTCTGGGAAGCTCTTTTTTTTTTTTTAATTACATCTATTATATATACTGTGTTCTATATTTAGGACTGCATGTAGGGCTGTACATCAGAAGAAGGCACTAGAGATGTTTGTGAGCCAACATATGGGTGCTGGGATTGAACTCAAGACCTCTGGAAGAGCAGCCAGGGCTCTTAAGCTCTGAGCTATATCTCCAGCCCTCAGGAATGCTCTTATTAGGCAGTCAGCCACGTCCTAGGTAAGCAAAAACAAAAGTACTGGGGTTTTATTTTATGTTTTCTCAGCTGCCAAGAAGAGGTTCAGTTGGGTGGATAGGAGATCCTCCCTCCCGCAAAGATTCATTTTATCATTTTTTCTTAAATCATGAAGGTATGTGTGTGTCTGGATGAGTGTATCCCATGTATGTATTGGGGCCCTTAGAGGCCAGAGACATCAGATCCTCTGGAATTAGAGCCACAAGAAGTTGACATGGGTGCTGGAAATTGAACTTAGATCCTCTGCAGAAACAATACACACCCTTAACCGCTGAGCCATCTCTCTAGGCCAAGTCTTACAGCCTTCCAGGGTGACACTTGTAATCTACTCAATTAGATACATAATATTTTAAGAGTGGCTTGGAGAATTTCACAGAGGAATGCTGGTTTAAGAAGCAGGCCAACGTGGTCCCAGAGGCTAACGTTCTCTCACATCACATGAAGACAGATACCATATGGCTTTGGGCTCAATGCCTCTTATTTTCAGTTCCCTTGAGTGCCGTCTATAAAAATCAGATTTCCTTAAATTAACCTGAGAGGTAGCTGGCAGCACTGCTTGGCAAGGCTCATTAAATTAAAGAAAAAAAAGCATATTTGTGAATAGCCTATACTTGTAAAACTGGAGTAAGTTTCTGAATTTAGCAGATGACAGCAGCGGTATTGAAATGTGTGAGAATTTTTCTGATGGGCCTAAAGATATCCTGGGGTTTGAGGTCTTTTCTCCTACACAGTTCAGTTTCAGCTTCTTTTTTGAGAATATGTTTGTCAGGTTTTGGACTGAATTATGATTCTTGTCGTGGTTTCTGAAAGACATTTTTGATAAAAAAAAAATACCCTTTCTGTTACATTGCTGGGCTTAAGATAAGGTTTAGAATTAGATCAGCACATAGTTTTCCTAAAGACTAAGGTACACACTTTATGTTAACTCACTATGTGTTAAAAACAACAGTTTGTTTGTTCAATTCTTGGAAGGCTGAAAGGGGTTTAACGAATTTAGACAGGTGAGCCTAAGAGACTCCCGGATAGAACAGGGCCTCCTTTTTACCATGTGTTTGCTGCCTTTACTGGGAAGGTAAATGTAGTTTGCAGGATTGACCAGGGAAGCCTTTTAATTTCACCACCGAATTAAAACCAGAAGAGAATTTATCCTTAACAAAATAATATAGTAGTTATGTCGCATTTTCTTTAACTGCCTTTCGAGGTTGCTTTGTTTTGAGACTGGGTATTACTATGTAATTCACGCTAATCTAGACTTAGCTTTAGAATGAGCTTAAGGCCAGTCCAGGACACATCAGACTCTATCAAACACAGAAAAATGTGTATTCATTTGCTTGTACACTTAATCTTTTGTGTTATTTGAATGCCTTCCTTCCTATAAAGAGAGAGTCATTCCTCCAGATAACTGAGGTACTTTACCTTAATGGGATATATAAGAAACATGCCCCTATCAGACAGCCAAGGAGACAGAGCCTAGGAGTGCTGCAAATTCAGAACCACTGATCTGTTTATCTGTATGAAATAACTAAAAACCCCTAACAGGCTATAGTGTTATTTTTTCTGGCGTCATCACTTGTGTATCTCATCTATGATGACAAAGAAGAAGTGCTGGTTTCCCAGAGCCTCCATACAAAGTTCCACAAACACACAATGGCTTGAAATGATTGCAACCTATTCATGTGCTGTTCTGGAGCTCCAAAACACCAAGCCAAGAGGTAACAGGGCCATGGTCCCTCCAAAGCCCCTAAGCCAAGCACTGTTTCACCCTGTAGGATTCTGGTAGTCCCAGAAGCCCTCCATTTCATGGTGGCCTAGCTCCAGTGTCTTCCCTCACATGCCTGTTATTTTCTTCATGGCTCTGCTCCAGTTTCCTTTGTTGACTGGGTCATAGGTCATTGGGTTAGAACCACCCACATAGTTTCACCTTAATTTGATTGTATCTGCCCAGCCCCTGCCTGTAAATAAAGCCACGTTCATAAATACCACCTATTAAACTGGAATGCCTCTTCCGTTAACACAATCCCACATGTGACAGGGTCTTCTTCCAGACCCCTTGCCAGCTGCCTCTGAGGGCAGACAGACGTTTCTGATTATCTGCCCAAGTGATATGAATTGGTAGGGTAACAAAAGTGTTGGTAAGTTTTGCTTCCTTGGTCTTCAAGTCTCCTTTTGTAACTGGATGCCACCTCCTGCATATTTAGTAAGTCTTCTACTATGTCAACACAATGCAGTTTGATTTTTAAAGAGATAATGGTTTATTTTTCACCTTATCAGAAACATTTTACTTCTATGCACATTTTTTTAAAAGAAGAACATTTTCAGAATGATTTTTGTCTTTTTTTTGTTTCCTTTTTTTATTATTTTGTAAATAATAACATTCAAAATTTCTACCTCCTCCTCTCCTCCCATTTCCCTCCCACGCCTCCCTCACCACTCCCCGTCCCTCCCATTCTTTTTTTTTAATTTTTTTTAATTGAGAAAAGGAAAAAAAAATCAAGTTTCCGCCTCCTCCCAGCCTCCCATTTCCCTCACCCTCCTCCCACCCTTCTCCCCGTCCTCCCACCCCTCTCCCCCTCTCCCTATTCCTCTACCCCTCCTTCTCCAGTTAAAAGAGCAGTCAGGGTTCCCTGCCCTGTGGTAAGTCTTAGGTCCTCCCCCCTCCGTCCATATCTAGGAAGGTGAACATCCAAACTGGCTAGGCTCCCACAAAGCCAGAACATGAAGTAGGATCAAAACCCCGTGCCATTGTCCTTGGCTTCTCATCAGCCCTCATTGTTCGCCATGTTCAGAGAGTCCGGTTTGATCCCATGCTTTTTCAGTCACAGTCCAGCTGGCCTTGGTGAGCTCCCAATAGATCAGCCCCACTGTCTCAGTGGGTGGGTGCACCCCTCGTGGTCCCGACTTCTCTGCTCTGTTCTCCCTCCTTCTGCTCCTCATTGGGACCTTGGGAGCACAGTCCAGTGCTCCAGTGTGGGTCTCTGTCTCTATCTCCATCCATCAGCAGATGAATGTTCTATGGTGATATGCAAGATATTCGTCAGTATTGCTATAGGATAGGGTCATTTCCGGTTCCCTATCCTCAGCTGCCCAAGGAACTAACTGGGGACATCGCCTTGGGCTCCTGGGAGCCACTCTAGGTTCAAGTCTCTTGCCAACCCTAAGGTGGCTCCCTTAACTAAGAATTGTGCTTCTGTGCTCCCCTATCCGACCTTGCTTTATCCCAATCATCCTTTTCCCCCAAGTTCCCCCCATCCTCCCCTTCTCCCTTTTTTCTCCCCATCTCCCCTTACCCCCTTCCCACCCCACCCCCAAGATCCCAATTTTCTCCCCGGCCATTTTGTCTACTTCCCATAGCCAAGAGGATAACTATATGTTTTTCCTTTGGTTCACCTTCTTACTTAGCTTCTTTAGATTGACCAATTGTGGACTCCGTGACCCTTATTTATGGCTAGAAACCAATTATGAGTGAGTACATCCCATGTTCATCTTTTTGGGTCTGGGATACCTCACTCAGGATAGTGTTTTCTATTTCCATCCATTTGCATGCAAAATTTGAGAAGTCATTGTTTTTTACCACAGCGTAGTACTCCAATGTGTATATATTCCACACTTTCTTCATCCATTCTTCCATTGAAGGGCATCTAGGTTGTTTCCAGGATCTGGCTATTACAAATAATACTGCTGTGAACATAGTTGAACAAATGCTCTTGTCATATGATAGGGCATCTCTTGGGTATATTCCCTGGAGTGGTATTGCTGGGTCCAGGGGTAGGTTGATCCCGAATTTCCTGAAAACCGAAACACTGATTTCCAAAGTGGTTGCACAAGATTGCATTCCCACCAGCAATGGATGAGGGTACCCCTTCCTCCACAGCCTCTCCAGCAAAGGAGTTTTTTATTTTAGCCATTCTGACAGGTGTAAGATGATATCTCAAAGTTGTTTTGATTTGCATTTCCCTGATAGCTAAGGAGGTTGAGCATGACCTTAAGTGTCTTTTGGCCATTTGAACTTCTTCTGTTGAGAATTCTCTGTTCAGTTCAGTGCCCCATTTTTTAATTGGGTTAATTAGCATTTTAAAGTCTAGTTTCCTGAGTTCTCAATATATTTTGGAGATCAGACCTTTGTCTGTTGCGGGGTTGGTGAAGATCTTTTCCCAGTCA